TAATCATACTGTAAGCTTGATTATTCACTCACACTTAATATACCTATTTACTTGACAATAATCTTGTCATTGTTGTGATAAGGTATATTTGCCTCTATAATAGGTATACATGGAATGTAAACTACCTAAAACACTAGCTAGTCCTTCTTTTGAAACTATAGAGATGTACTCCCTATTCAGGTTTCTTTCCCCCCCCCCCAGTTTTTTTTTAAAAATGTAGGAAGTGTTAATACTTCTTTGCTTTCCCTTGGGAGACTATTACACTTCCTAATAGAATGCACTGGCAGGAAGATTTCCTCATGCCGCCTACACTGCCTCTTCTAAAGTTATATTGCTCACAAATATATTCCTTTTCATAGCACATAGCTTTTTTTTCACCCTTGAAAATTTTCTGATTCTGCCTTATCCATTTTTAGCCAAGATATACACTACATAAATCCAGCTTCTGAAAGCTTTCCTTATACATCAGTCCATTCATATTCATGATTAGCTCTGTTATGTTTTATTGAGTAGTTCTAAATTGACAATATCTTCCCAGTGCAAGTGAAGCAATGCATGGATTCAAATCTGGCTACAGTCATACAGTACATCTAGTAGAAAGAAAAATTGCTAGTTTCTACATGATTTCAAATTTCACATAATACATATAGTGGTCCACTAAACAAGAACACTACATGGAAGCTTTGTGTCACATTTGATAGTTACAGCTACAACGGCACTATTCATTACATTTCCCCCCCAACAGGTCCTCTTTTGCATATTATGACCTTGGAACATATATTGTAGGACTCCAGAGTTGTCTATTTGTTTTCATTGGTTATATATTTATTTTATTTATTTTATTTCTACCCCGCCCATCTGGCCTAAAAGACCACTCTAGGCGGCTGCTCGACTGGTAAATTCCTTTCATTTTGTTAACAAATTAAAGTTAATAAAATAATGGATTTTACAATCTCTGTTGAGATGGTATCAAAATGATAAAATATAGCAAGAATCCTATGATTTGGGTATGTTGATGTAATTTGAACAGTGTAAATCTCAGCAGCAAATTGCCACTAGGTAAAAAAATCAAGGCTTGCATTCCTCATTGCGTACCAGCCTTTTACAACTTACAATTAAATACACCTTCTTCGTCCTTAATTTTGTTTCTTTTTGATCACAGGTATCCTTTTAAAGCAGAAAAACCCAATCTGTACCTTTTACAGAGCTGTAAGAATATCTTGCCATTTGCTGAGCAGTATTTTAAAAAAACCTGAAAATCATTCAGTACTATATTACAACTTTTACTAGCAGACGAGTCATCACACAAGCTACTCTTCCAGATTAATTCAAAATTCAGATTCACCATATGGAGGTCAGCCAGAAGCTTTTATTAATCACTTCACTATATTTGCATTTCACAAATCTATAACATGGGCTTTACTTTAGAATGTGAACATTCCCTTCCCTCTCCAATGATCTTAGAATCCTATTTTGGCTATTATTCTGCGCATAATTCACAAGCTACAGGAAGCAGAAGAAGATGGGTGTTTTTTTAAGGACAAAGATGGGGTAAAATACCTTAAATGAATGAATGAATGAATGAATGAATGAATGAATGAAGTCTATAGTAGGAAGCCTGCACTCTCTTAGTTACTATTACTAATACCCTTCTTGCTTTTTCTTGGAAGTGACTACAGATCTCTTTCAGTCAGAAACTGAAAAACTATCACATCAAAAAGATCAAGAAAAATATTCACACAAAGAATAACTTTGGCTGATCTACATGTTTGTCTTGCCATCAGAGTAATAATTTTTTTTTCTGTATACTGTAGTATCAACTGCTTTAGACTGGTGACACTTCTTGGTCTGTATTACTTTTTGTTTTGCATTATTAGACCATGAGATTATGCATGAAATGACATATTGCTACCTTTAAGGATAATTCTCCCAAACAGCTTTAACTGAGGCAAACCATTTCTGAAAGAATTATTGCTATTCCCTCTGAAGGGTGCAATCTTTCAAGTTGTTTTAGGATCAAGTATCTTATCTGTTTTCTTTAAAAACCAATTAAACATAGACATATCAGAAACACTAGGATATGCTAAGAATGGTTTTAATTGCTTGATTAGGGTATCCTGCGAAAGCAGAACCCCACGTGTGGGTTCCAATACATTATCACTCTATAAATGCACTAAAGAAAGTGAATAAGAAAGCTGAAGGCTTAATCCTGGGTAAAATCACTGATCTATTTCCTTTCTTGAGGTGAAATTTTAAGTTATGCTGTCATCTCCTACAGGATGTAAGAATGCAAAAACAGGTATCGTTCTTTTAAAATCCACACAGAAATCAGTGTCTTAAAAAGTTCCTGAAATTGGATGATCTGTAAAATGACACAGAACTTTTACATAACCTGTGTCATATGAAGCATTATATTGGCGAAATGTTGCCACATACATTAGCTTCAGTACTGGTTCATTTTAATTTATTTACTTTCCTTTTTTAGTACCCAAGTCAGAAAACTCTGACTTTAAAAATATAGGTTTTTGGGCCAAGTCTAAGGCTTGACTAAAATGAATTGATGTTTTTTAATCATGCAGTTTTACAGGCTTGCAGATAAGAAAAAGGATGAAGTTCTAACAAGCATGTTACTTGTTTAAAAAGTTCACCAGAATACCAACTCTTCAAAGAACAACTTGCACAGTTTACTCTTCAGATTAAATGGGACTGGGAAATTACCATCTGCATACTGAACACAAGCCATGTTTTTCTGAATTTTCCCATATCTAATTTATTCCACCGCATATATGTCAAAATGGTAGCTAGTGTTAAGTGCTCTCAGCAGCTCAAGGAAACAGAATGAGGGCAGAGGGACAATATATTAAGATGAAAGAGGTTGAAGAGGTTCCTAATGAATGAAGCTATGGTAAGGAGGGAGGTGGCATCTGTAGGGGATATAACGGTATAAAGCTCCAGAAGATTTGAGAGGACCAGCGCAGGTGCTGTCAAAACCCTATTGGGTGCATTCACAAAGGCCATGAAGAAGAATTGATGATCTTGGAATTGGTGACATGGAGACAGAGTTAGAATTCTATTGATGATTTACACATGTGTCAGTGAAATTACTGGTAATTAATGAGGTGTTGGTTGCATTCCTGGTCACACAACTGGCATCCTTTTAATTTGTAGCAATTCACTGCTACAACTTGTAAAATTTTATTATGCATATGTAAATTACCAGTAGGATTTTGGTCACTGTGTCAAATCACAGGACAGGTAACCTCTGTTTGTTCTGCAGTATTGTTAGACATAAAAACATGTTGATGTACTAAATTCCATAAAAATTATTCTATAGTTAACTTTTCTTAACCTGCTTACTGTTTTGAACAATGATGTGTACAATGGAGAGGGATAAAAAAAAATCTAGTGGAAGAGCTAAATCATAGAGCATCAGCCAACCTATTCATAATTAAAGCACTACTCTCTTACAGCTGCTCTTTGCTTACTGAAAACAGAAGACAAAAATGGGATCAGAGATTTCTTCAATCCTAGATTTTCTGGCACAGATACTTTTCAGAGTCAGAATGCCTCTCCAATCATCCGATCAATTCACATTATATTCTATGAGCATTAGATGTAGAAACCTTACACATCTGAAATCTTTGGAAACTCGATTTGAACAAGGCAGTTGTTTGCTTTTTCTGCTACACCACTACCAGTATATTGTGATAAACACCTAGAACTCCCTAATGTTATCTATGGATCCTAGCTCACCAACTGACAACAAATTATAAGTGGCAGGGTTGCATCCACACTGAATTGAACTTAGAGCAGACCCACTGATATCAGTGGGACTTAAAACATAAGTAACAACAGCCATTGACTTAATGGGCCTACTCTATGCACGTTTAAAGCTAGACTCAATGCAAAGTGAGCAACATCTAACAACTGTCAAGGAATATAGTATAATAAATTCCCAAAATGCTGTACGTAACTAGAAGAAAAGAGTATTTCTTTATACTTTTGTGTTGCCAATTTCCCATAAGATTCCAAAATTGGTGGTATGCTGAGTCCTTTTGTAAACAGAAGGCTAAAATACACTGTATTTTATGACCCTATAACCCAAAGACCCTGTCCAAACGAGTTTACCCTAGATGATCCAATGGTTCAAAGGATAGCTATAAAAATGCTGTATTTGATTCTCCCCATATTTTCCAGCCAGTACACAATTATTTGTTGTAGGCTTTTTAAATTACATTTTGTATATTTTAACCACATAATATGTTTTATGAACTGACTGTACATTTTAAACTGTATTTTGTATATTTTAGCCATAAATATGTTTTATGAGCTGGTCACCCGACCATAATAAATAAACTCAATTCAAAATACACTGTTGGAACAAAATTAAACAAAAATTGAATGCAAGCCTAAGATGCATAATCTTAACTCACAGAGATCACAAAGGAGAAAGAAACCTTATCTAAGGCTGTAGTCCTACACAGTAGATGCAAGCTACTTGGTGGACTTCAATTGGATTGTAGTACAACTTCCATCAGTAGCAGACAGTATGGTCAATGATCAGAGTGCTAGGAGTTGAAGTCTACAACATTTGATGCCACCAGGTTGCCTTACTCTGTTTCTCCAGGAGTAAGATCCACTGAAACCAATGGCACTGATTTATGAGCAATCATGAGTAGGACTGCAATATAAGTGGGGCAGATGTTAATTTAACAGCTTATAAAATTCCACATAATTAAGAACCAGAGTTTCTTACAAAATTATAAAACTATTATATGCAGATTGAATTAAAAAGACAATTTTTCTTATTACTAAAATTAATGAATATTCAAGTGTTTCTACTTTATTCCTTTTTAATAACTGCAACAACACAAAACATCCATTTAAGCTTTCATATTAGGTGTTAAATATTAATTACCAAACTATTTTATCAGACTTTTTTTACAGGATGAAAAATAAGAAAGTGTACTTAAACTATGGACAAGATGTCCTATTCTTACCATGACCTGTGGCAAAAACTGAAACAGGACCCGTCTGTACTAGATAAGAGCTGGCAGTATAGTCCTCATCAGTGTCAGAGTCCTGAACTGGCTGGATATCACTAGTACTTAGCAACCATCTTTGGTTGTCATGGAGATTAGGTGATGGAGGAGGGGAATGTAAATGTTCAATAACGGATTGACTAGATGAAGAGGATGGCATGGGAGGACCTAAGGAAAAAAATAAAAATATATTTTTAAAAAAATGGTTAGGATAACATGAATGACAGATCAGTTGCTACTTAATTCCTTTACCTTGCTAGAAATGTATAAAATACTTTAATAAATCTTGGCCAAACAAAATGATGGTAGTAAATGATGGGAATGATACTACTCATGTATGGTGCATAGAGCACAAATTTTCCTCTTTTCATTGTAGATCTGAAGCTATGATTTCTGAATAACATATTTGACAGAGCTGTTTAATAGCTGGACTTGAAAATTTTAATTACTAATTTTAAATTTCTTTTAATATTTATTACAGTTTCAAAACATCAGTTGTATCATCTGCAAACTAAAGACCTGGTGATTTTGTTCTGGCTTTAGAAATTAAAATATTTACATAACCCAATGTGTTAATCAAGTCCCATCTATTGAAAAAAATAGATGAGAATATTCTAGAATCATATCTAGAATTAGATGTCCACGTGCTTCAAAACTTTAGGTAGCCTATAACAAATACCTGTTAAATCCCACATCACACTAGTAATAAGATACTATCTCCTTTAGATGAAGTATTTGTAAAACAGCAAAAATGAAAATGAACAATAAATAACAGATAACACTACTGACTCTGTCCAAAAATACAGTACTGCTGAAGTAATAGTCCCCTCCATTTATCTCATCATTATGGATTTATTTTCATAAAGCTACTACTTAAAATCAGAAGATGTTGACATGTATAATTGAATGTGTCAATTTGTGTTAGGACAATGCTATGATAAATGTGGTGTGATCTTGACCCCTGTAAGCAATCCGCTACATCTACAGCACTTTTACATACACAGGGTTCTTAAGTATTCAGACTGCCCCAAAGTGAGACATAAACAGATCTACTTGCACTTCTGAAATATATATAAAAGTTGGTCCAAACATGTGAGCTTTAGGTCTGGGAATTGGAGCTCCCAGACCTAAAGAAGATGGCTAGATCAGACTGAATTACTAAGTTTCCTGTAAGATCTGAGATTAATGTGTCTGTCTACTATTGCTTTTAAGTCCCTTTTAATCAAATATTGTACATGAGAAACAAAAAAATAAAATAAAGGGAAGACTGAAGAGCACTCCTGAACTCATGAGCAGCATACCTGACATTGTGCATTATATGTGCACCATGTATTACATGCATCTATCCATCTGAATTCAGCTAAACAAGTAACTACAACATGCCTTACAATTTTCAAAGCTTGAACAGCAGAGACCAGGTTGCACATTGTACCTAATTCAGAGACACAATAGAGAGTATGGAATATGCCATTTGCACCTTCACTTTTCCATGGTTGAGATGCTGTCACACATCTTAGGCCTGCAGAAGGTGATATCCTCACTGACAAGGGGTGTTTTTCTGTAATTAAAAAAAACCTCTACTTCCTGCAGCTTTTGCCACTCCCAAATAATCCCTTTCATCAGATTGATGCTGCGGGAGTTCTAGAATGGAAGAAGGAAAAATAATTTTTCAATAAAGACGTCCTCCTTCCATCCTGCAACTTCCACAGCTTCCATGCAATGAAAGGGCTTACTCAAAGTGGGAAAACCCAAAGGACAGAATAAAAAGTTTTCAACTACTGAAAATCACCCTCGTAGTGATGCCATCACCCATTTGTAGGTGTTTGTTACATAAAAGAATTTCAATCCTTGGAAACTATAGTGAGCTTCCTCAGACAATCATTATTGGGGCAGGGGAAAGGAAAGTATGCTCAACTGCAGTAAATTAAGATGTGCCATACCATAAATCTATATTTTGAAAGCTTCACAAACATTTTTTGTTATTAGTGTATTATAATAACTATAGTATATGCAGATGTATCAAAGGAAAATATATAGGTAATATAGTGCACCACAAAACCTCCAGATTCAGGCACTTTCCTTTCTTAATATAGCACAATAACTCTGTAATAAGTGAGTTTTAATTATAAATCCATTTCATATTATAGACCCCCTGTATGCTATCCAACCTGTATAACTTGGCAGTGGTATTTATCTCTCTGCTGGATACTAGAGCCTTCTACAGTCAACCTGTGGTGACAGTTATCTGTTAATTAAAACTCTACATGCAAATAGCATTACTGAGAAGTGTTGTGGCAGAGAGCACACAAAACACAATTATGTGTAACTGCAAACGTCTTGTTATCTACAATTTTAATACTGGGCAACCACTTTATTTAGTGTAAAGCTCTCCATCTGGGAAATACGCTTAACAAATCTTGTTGCTTAAGATAGTCATAGATCTTTCCATAGTCATTAAAGAGCAGCAAATGGACTTGGATACAATAGGGACTTCTTCAGAAGCAAATTTTATAGAATATCTGTTTATTTTTTAAAATGCAATGGATGATGACCTATTTAACCTTGCCTTTAAGAAGTATGTTTTTCATTTCAAACATCTTTAAATTTTAATAAGCTGTCAAGCACATCTTTAAATACAAAGCTAAAAGAAAAATGACGGGTTCCTTAAGACGCTGACATGGAAAGCTAAGATTTATAAAGAAAGGAGTAAATATACATTTATACATTTAGTTTCAAAATTAAGTAAATACAACTTCAGATTAATAACAACACCTGACATATTACACCGTGTTATGATTTATTTTACAAAAATAAAGCCAATATGGAGAAGCCATGTGTGAAAAGCTAAGTACACCTTATGATTCAATACCTTGTACAACCAACTTTAGCAGCAATACGTTCAAGTAATCGTTTTCTGTAGGACTTTATCAGTCTCTCACATAATGGTGGAGAAATTTTGGCTCACTCTTCTTTACAGTGGAGCTTCAGTTCATTGAAGTTTGTGGGAATTTGTTTATTCTCAACTCTCCTAAAGCACCACCACAGTATTGGGTTGAGGTCTGGGCTTTAACTGGGCCACTGCAACACCTTTTTTCCCCTGTCATTCTGTTCTGGATCTGCTGGTGTGCCTTGGAACACTGTCCTGTTGCATGACCCAATTTTGGCCAAGGTTTAGCTGTCAGACAGATGGCCTCACATTTTGACAATACTTTGACAATACAGAGGAATTCATGATCAATTCAATAACTGCAAGGTGCCCAGGTCCTATGGCTCCAAAACAAGCCCAAACCATCACTCAGTCTAAATCATCACCATAGTGCTTGACAGTTGATATGAGGTGTTTGGCCTGATATGCTGTGTTTGATTTTCACCAAAGGTGGCTTTGTGTACTATGGCCAGACATCTCCACTTCGGTCTCGTCTGTCCAAACGATATTGTTCCAGATGTCTTGTGGTTTGTCCAGATGCAGCTCTGCAAACCTAAGCCATGCTGCCGTGTTCTTTTTAGACAGAAGAGGTTTTATCCTGGCAACCCTTCCAAACCAACCACACTTGTTCAGTCTTTTTGTAATTGTAGTGCCATGAATATTTAACATGCCAACTGAGGCCTGTAGAGTCTGAGATGTAACTCTAGGGCTTTTTGCAATTTCTCTGAGCATTGCATGGTCTGACCTTGGGGTGAATTTTCTTGGACATCCACTCCTGGGAAGACTGACAACTATCTTGAATGTTTTCCACTTGTGAATAATCTTCCTCACTGTAGAATGATGGACTTTATATTGTTTGGAAATGACCTTCCAACCCTTCCCAGATTGATGTGCAGCAACCATTGCTTCTCTATGATCATTGCTGATGTACTTCCTCCTAAGCATTGTATTAATACATACCTGAATGTTCCACACCAGCAAACTGCTAAACTTTCAGCTTTTATAGAGGTGGTCACACTTGCTGGTAAGCAGTTACTCAAGGGCATTTGGTTAGCAGCACCTGGCTGCTACTTAGCTTCTTATTTGTTGTGGAAGCAGTAAAGGTATACTTAGTTCAAACATAGTTTCTGCATTTTGGTTTTTGGTTTAGTTTTCTGGGCCTCTTCAGGGATGAGCACTTACAACTAAGAAGCCTGGATAGAACAGGAGGTCCAGGTAGAGAATCTTAAGAAGAGACACCTGTAGGTATCTTCCAGTATCTTCCAATAACACCTTCCAATAACAAGACCCCAAACTCTGGAGGGTTATAGGTTAACACTACAACTTTGAATCTGGCATGGAAGCCAATGTAGACAAACCAGGATCAGGGAAATGTGGTGATACATCCTTGCTCTACTAACCTAGCTGCTGCATTTTGCACCTGCAAAATCACTTTCAAAGGTAGCCACACACAGAGAGCATTGGAGCAATTAATCCTAGAGATTACTAACCCATGAATCAATGTGATTAGGGAGTTCCTGTTCAACAAGGGCTGCAATTGTGCCATCTGCCAAAGATTTAAAAAAAGCAGGGATTTGCTTCTCCAAGTCCAGAAGCATTGGTTGTTGTGGGTTTTTCGGGCTCTTTGGCCGTGTT